GCCGGGGCCGGCGTGCGGCTGGTGCGGCCCGGACTCGGAGACGGGGGAGGGGGAGAACCCGGCGAAGGGGCTTGGCGGGGTGTTGGAGGCGGCGGCGGGGAAGGAAGGGGAGGCGAGGGCATAACATGGCGCAACGCTAGGATTATCTCCACCGCGACCGCGGGAGGACAAGCCATTGCTGCTGCAGCGCGAGGGGGAGAAAGGAGGTGGCTAGGGCTTAGGTATCCGATTCATTCTTGGCCTGATAGAGGCTAGGAGACAGTAATGCGGCGAGTAGGTAGGAGGTGGGCACCCGGCGGGCGCGGCTCCCAGGGAGGAACCCCAGAGCTGGCAGGAGCTGGTCCCGCACCCCGGGATCAGGTTGCGAGGAGAACGCTGATTGACAGGGGGCACGCAGGGGCGAGGCGGGCCGCGCGGAGGACGGAGGTGGAGGAACAGAGACAGTGCCATGATGCTAGGACTGGAACCGGCGCTGAGGTTCTGTGACGGCCCTACTCATGTCCAGGACCTCATGGATCGCGTTGCACGAGCGAGCTTGGTGCGTTGCTGGCCCCGAGAGGTGGTGTCAGGGCGGGGACTGAGGAGGAGAGACAGAGACGCCTTGTGGCTGGAGGAGGCAAGGCCTGGATGCTCCGAGGGAAGGGTCTGCGGGTTAAAGTGGGACCATCTCCTCTTTTTTTGGCAGAAGAGGAGGCGATAGACGCAGCCAGAGAAGATGTCGGGCCAAACGCTCACGGATCGGATCGCCGCCGCTCAGTACAGCGTGACAGGTTCTGCTGTAGCAAGAGCGGTCTGCAAAGCCACCACCCATGAAGTGATGGGCCCCAAGAAAAAGCACCTGGACTGTAAGCATCTCTTTATATAAGTGGGACATGCGCACGGCAGAAGCACCCGGTTTGCAGGCGGTGCGGCCTGGGCTTGCTTGTCAATAATGCTGCGGCCTCTGGAACTCCCGGCCTGGTAGTCCTTGAGCTCAGAATCTCCAACCGTCAAAGTGTCTCCTTGAGTCTTTGGAGCCATTATTTCTCATATTGACCTCCAAGGTCTTGGTGGAGGGAAAATAGAGAGGGGAGTAGGGAGAGAGAATTGTACTCTCTGGATTAGGGGTTTTTCAACCCCCTTTCCCCCCTTTACCACTCTCCCTCCTCCAGATTAGAAGATACTAGGGGTTGCAAAAAATAACAATCAAATTAAATTAAAAAGAGAGATTCATGGGAGGTCACCTTATTTTCTTCTTAAATACATGTTGGGTAGTTCTAAAACTATCTTTTCCAGTGTCGTTGCTAAGGGTGTGTGTGTGTGTGTGTGTGTGTGTGTGTGTGTGTGTGAGTGTCTGTTATATGTCAGCCACCATATCACACAGAAATAAATTCAGGCTATTGGATGAGGAGGCTTCATAGATAATGGCGATTTCATTGTACACACCCTTGTACAATTCTGTGACCCATTCTCAGAGAATGTTGGGTGGATGACTATACTGTGGTCATGAAATGGATGTATTCTCCTAGCATTTGAGATGGTGCAATTTTAGATGAAAATATTTAATTCATAATGTTCTTTTTCATATTGGTTATTTGATAGAAAAGGTCTTAATTCTAGTTTGGAATCTATATTTCTGAAACATTTTATTTGACTAAAAATCTTTTGTTGTTGAAGGGTAAATAAGGACACTTAGGAAAAAGACTTTCACCTGTTTTGGGTAGTGAGGCTCCTTCTATGTAATGCTACATGAGAGTATGTTCTGCAGTTGTTACCCAGTGTTTTTGTCTCGTTTAAGATCTTCTGTCCCATTCTGATGTGTGTCGGTAAAGATCAGCGTTGGCATGGGAGACACAGGCCGTACTCATTTCCCACCTAACTTGCTTTGCTTTCCCCCACAGTCTCCCCTCTGTAGCTCAGAAAATGCACCAGTGTTAAAGCTGACTCTAGCCCTATTATCTGTATAAGCAAAGCTTGCTACAGTTTACAACCGGACATTGTAAGAGGTGACCAGCCTTGTGAGCCTGTTGTCTCATAGCATTGAATAATTTTGTTTCTAGAAACTCATCTGGAGGGAAAACACCATTATTCTTTTCCCAAGGGAATCTTTAACAAAATTTATTGATTACAGTATCATGTGTTATGCAGTATGGGATTAGAGAGGCCACAAGGGCCAGAACACCCTAACAGAAGTGGAAATTATAAATTCATGACCAGCTCATTTTGCTGCAGCATGCTGAATCATTTAGCCATCTTTCCATCAGTTTCCCCAACTCTAAAAAGATGACTCATTTCTCAGAGGCATGTGTTAGTCTAGAAAAATCTTCATAATAAAATGGGTATAGGTTATAAATTTGTTACATGCTAATCTATCATGAAAATGACAGAAGTATTGATATATTTCAGAGTATTCACAGGTTTGACCATTTTGTGAAAACATTCAGATTAAGACTGACTTTTCTAGATTTAAATATTTAGTGAACTTAGTCATTTAGATCTGGGAAAGTACTTGAAAATTTTGAAAGAGGAACATTTTTTTCCATTATCTCCCAGCAAGTGGGGGGATTCTGAAGGTGCGGAACATAGGAGGAAGATCCCATGTTAGAATAAAGTAGCAGAAATGGGAATTGGTGTTGAGTTATTAATAGTCATAATCATGAGTGCTAAACATTTACTGAGCAGCTACTATATGCCAGATACTGAACTTTACTTCAGTTATTTGTTACCACTTAAAAAAATTCAAGATGCATGATTAACTTCACAGCTTTTAACAATTACATTTAACTGCCATCTGTAGTTTTTTTAGTTTTATTCTATATCTAAAGGTAGTAAAAAGATACCATATTATCCTAAGTGGTCTAGTCTCCAAAATACCCACCCTGTTTACATAACTTTGTGTGAAACTGAGTATTACAACCTGCACCCATATTGCAGTCTCTTCTATGACATGCTTGAAAAAATTTAATTCTGTCACTTAAAAAATAAGCAGAAAATGGGACCAGCAGTTAGCGTAATGGCTATGTTGCTGAACTCCCATGTAGTTGACCGCGGTTCGAGTCTCAGACCCGGTGGCTTAAACTCATGCTGGGCGCGTGTGCATGTGTGCCCAAGATCCCGAAAGGAGAATGGAGCAGAAAGGATTGCAGTGTGGCCATCCCCCTGGGGGGTGTTTCTCACTTTACGTCTCTCTTTCTCTGTCTTTCTGGCACGCACATGCTCCCTATAGTAAAAAAAAAAAAAGGTTATAAAATAAATTATCTCCCACTTAAAATCAACCTATTGGATAAATTAGGAAATAAGCATATCACACTACTATGTCCTTTTCTAAGAAAACATATGAAAAATTTGAATGTAAAAATTGTTACATGAGTTATAAGAGGACATCTTTGCTCAGAATTACTTGTAAAGTTTCTTTAAAAAGTAGCAGACTACCTCAGTAATTCATTCATGGGGTTCCAGTAACACAACAGTTACAAAAATGAGTTATACTTGGTATTAAAATATAGAAATACATACCTAAATTTCTCTATAGGCACCGAGGCATTCTTTTTTTAAAGCTTATTTTATATTACATCTAATCATATATGTCTTTACAGCTTATGACATGTCCTTTTCCAGCATGATTATTATACATATCAGTCAAGACCAAGATATTACTATACATCAGCAGCAGCAAATAACTTTTTGGTCAATTATATGTACTCTTCTTCTCCTGTTCCCCTCCCTTTATCCCTCCATTACCCACCCCCATATTACCCCTATCTTCACTATCTCTAGTATCTACCATTGTCCCCCTTGCTACTATACCTTCCCATCTTCCAGCTTCTGCCATAGAGTACAGAAAATCGGTATATATTGAGTGGGGGCATACAAAGTCTGTCTTTCATAACCTAACTTGCTTTGCTTAGCATTAAGTCTTCCATATTTGTTCACTTTGCATCAAATGTCAGGATTTCATTGTTTTTTATGACTGGGTAGTATTCTATAGAGTACATATGCCACATTTTTTTTTTTCCAATCCAGTCATCTATTTTTGGGCATTTGGGTTGATTCCATGTCCTAGCGATAGTAAATAATGCTGCAGTAAACATGGATGTGCAAGTGTTTTTCTGACTGAGGGTTTTTCTATCATTTGGATAAATATCTAAAAATGGAGTTATTGGGTTATGGTAGTTGTATTTGTAGGTTTCTAAAGAATCTCCATATCATTCTCAAAAGTGGTTGTACTAATTTACATTCCCACCAACAGTATAGGAAAGTTCTTCTGCCTCCACAGCCTCGCCAGCACTTATCATTATGTATTTTCTTAATTTTAGCCATTCTGACTGGGCTTAAGAGATATCTCATTGTGGCTTTGATTTGCATTTCCCTTATGATAAGAGATGTCGAGCATCTTTTCATATGTTTTTGGGCCATTTGTATGTCTTCTTTGGATAATTGTCTGTTCAGCTCCTTTTTCCATCTTTTAATTGGATTGATGTGTGTGTGTGTGTGGGGGGGTAGGCTGCTTGAGTTACCTGTATATTCTGGTTATCAGTCCCTTATCTGAGGTATAATTTACAAATATATTCTTCTACTCTGAGGGTTGTCTTCTCACTCTACTTATTGTTCCTTTTGCTGTGCAGAAGCTTCTCAGCCTAATACATAGTCTTATTTTTCTATTTTTGTGACTATTGCCTGTGCTTTGGAGATCTTTACTTTGGAGAAGTTATTGCTATAGGGTCCATGCGCTTGCCAGAAACACAGAGAGAGACAGAGAGACAGAAAGCGAGAGGCCACACCACAATCTCTTCTCCTCTATTTTCCTCTTAGAACCTTGAGCATGCACACACATGCGCCTGGTGTGAGTTTAATCCACCAGGTCTGGGACTCAAACTGCGGTCAACTACATGGCAGTCCAGCGACACAGCCATTACATCAACTGCTGGGCCCTGGAGGTCTGCATTAAGAAGTCTTTGTCTACTCCAAGGTCTCCAAGAGTTTTTTTCTGTGTTTTCCACCAGTATTTATAGTTCGAGGTATTATGTTGAGATCCTCAATCCATCTCGAGTTAATTTTTGTTAGTGGTGAGAGACAAGGATCTATTTTTATTCTTCTGCAGGTGGATATCCAGTTCTCCCAGCACCATTTGCTGAAGAGATTTTCTTTTTACCACTGAATTGTCTTGTGCTCTTTGCCGAGAGTCAGTTGGCTCTGTTTTGGGATTTATTTGGGTGTTCTCAATTCTGTTCCATTCGTCTACCTGTCCATTTTTGTGTCAATACCATACCATTTTAATTATCATGGCTTTGTAATATGTTTTGAGGTTGAGAAGTGAGATGCTTCCTATTTTATTCCTCTCACGTAGTATTACTTCGGCCATACAGAGCCTCTTATGCTTTCAGACAAATTTTATCTTTTTTTTTTTTTTCTATTTTTGTGAGGAATATTTCTGGTAGATTGATTGGGATTGCATTAAATTTGTAGAATTATTTGTGTAGGATTGTCATCTTGATCTGAAGCATTCTTAAGTAGTTGATGTTTTACTTTTGAAAATATTAAATACTGATTGGGAAGAAGAGAACTCAAAATGTAGAGTTGGGGGGTTTGAAACAAAAGAAAATTATTTGCTTGACTGTATATAACTATTTTGCTTGGAGTTTAGACTGGAAGGTGTAAGAACAAAGTCTGTGGTTCTATGATTTTTTTTAAGCTATAAGATTTAGTTCAGAATCTTTATAAAATGTATATTTTTAAATAACTATTTATTTAATTTTATTTATTATTATCATTTTTCAGTTTGACCAGAAAGAGAGAGAGAGAGGGAAAGTGAGAAAGCAAGCCACCAGGTTCAGGACTTCAACCATGGTTAGCCCTATTAGTTTAA